AACAACAACAAAGTCCTCAGAAAAACAAAACAGATTTCGAAGGACTGCAACATAATATATACGGTGTTAAGTTTTCCGCCAAAACTTACTAGACATACAAAGAAATGGGGCCATGCAATCCATATTCAAGATAAAAAGCAGTTAATGGACACAGCTTCAAGTGGGCCCAAATAATAGATTTAGCAAACAGACTTAAAAGCAGCTATTATATATTCTAAGAAATGAAGGTAAGCATAATATTAGTGAACAGATAAAGCATCCTAAAGAGAAATGGAAACTTTATTTTTAAAAGAAAACAAAAAGAAATTCAAAAGTTAAAAAGTACAGTAACTGAAATGAAAATTTTACTAGTTAGGTTTAGCAGAAATTGAGATAGTAGAAAAAACGAATCAAGTTGAAGATAGATCAATAGAAATTATTCGGTCTGAAGAATAGAGAGAGAAAAGACTGGAAAAAATGTACAGTGTCTCAGTATAAAACAGTATCAAACAGTTCCACATGGAGTTGCGGAGTCCTAAAGAGTGAGAAAGGGGCAAAAAAGTATTTAAAGAAATAATGGCCAGAAACTTCCCAAATTTGGTGGAAAACGTTAATTTCCAGATCCAAAAAGCCTAAAGAACCCCAACTCGATAAACACAAAACTACACCAAGTTTCATATAGTCAAACTGCGAAGAGATGAAGGTAAAGAAAAAATCTTGAAAGCAGCAAGAGAAGAATGCTACATACAGGGGAACCATGCAAACTAATGGTTGCTTAACAAGGTTGCAGGGTACAAAATAAACATACAGAGATAAATTGTATTTCTTTATACTGGCAATTAGATACAATATCAACTACAATACAATACCAATTACAGTCACTGGAAAAATGAAAGATATAAATCTAACAAAACATGTACAGGACTTACATGCTGAAAACTATAAAATGCTGATGAAAGAAACCAAGTATCTAAATAGGCATAACATGTTTATAGATTGGAAGGCTCAGAATAGTAGAGATGTTAATTCTCTCCACATTGATACACAGGTTTAACATATATCCCCACAAGACTTTTTGAAGATCTACACAAAATGATTCTGATATATAGAAAGACAGAAGTACCAGACTAGCTAAAACAGTTTTGAAAAAGAATAAAATGGAAAGAATCAGTCTGATTTCAAAACCTTATACAGCTATACTAATCAAGACTGTATGATATTGGCAGAGGTATAGACGTATCCATGGAACAAAGTAGAGAACTCAGACCAACACAGGTATGCCCAACTAATTTTTTACAAAGATGCAAGAACACTTCAATGGAGAAAAGGGAGCTTTTTCAACAAATGATGCTGGAGCAATTTGACATCCATAGATTTTTTTCAAAAAAATGAAGCTCAATATAAAGCTCACATCTTATACAAAACTTAACTCAAACTAAAACTCTACAACTTAGGGGAAAAAAACATAGGAAATCATAGGAGGGATCTAGGGCTAGGCAGAGTTCTTAGACTTGACACCAAAAGTGTACTTTATAAAAGGGAAAATTAATAAATTGGACTTCATCCAAAGTCAAAACCTCTGCTCTGGGAAAGACATTGCTCAGGGGATGAAAAGACAAATTACACACTGGGAAAAGATATTTGCAAACCACATATCTGAAAAAAAAAAAAAACTAAAATACATAGACTTTCAAAACATAGAATTAAAAAAAAAAAAAAGTCCAATTAGAAAATGAGTCAAAGGGGCACCTGGGTGGCTCAGTTGGTTAAGCAGCTGTGGCTCGAGTCATGATCCTGGAGTCCTGGGGTGGAGCCCCACGTCGGGCTCCCTGCTTAGCAGGGAGTCTGCTTCTCCCTCTGACCCTCCTGCCTCTTGTGCTCTAGAGAAAGAGAGAGAGAAAGAAAGAAAGGAAAAAGAAAAACAAAGTGGGTAAAAGAGGGATGCCTGGGTGGCTCAGTCGGTTAAGCGTCTGCCTTTGGCTCAGGTCATGATCCCGGGGTCCTGGGATCCCGCTTCGGGCTCCCTGCTCAGCGCAGAGCCTGCTTCTTCCCTGCCTGCAGCTCCTTCTGCTTGTGCTTGCTTTCTCCCCTTCTCTGTGTGTGTGTCAAATAAATAAATAAAATCTTAAAAATCTTAAAAAATCTTAAAAAAAAAGAAAGAAAGTGGCCAAAAGACATGTAGATATTTCATTGTAGAGCATATACAGATGGCAATTGAGTACATGAAAAGATGTTTTAACATCATAAGCCATTAGAGAAATGCAATTAAAACCACAAGATAACCGTGTATGAGAATGGCTAAAATAAATAAGTGACACCAAATTCTAGTAAGGACGCAGACACTGGATCACTTATACACTGCTGGTTAAAATGTAGTAATAGTAATTCTGGATCCCATTTAGCAGTTTCTTTAAAAATTAAACCCGCAACGCCCACACAACCCAGTGAATTGCATTCCTGGGCATTTATCCCAAAGAAATGAAGACTTATGTTCACACAAAACTTGTACACTAATGTTTATAGCAGTGTTATTCATAGTAGCCAAAAATGGAAATAAGCCAGATATCCTTTAATGAATGAATGGTTAAAGTGTGGCACATCCATACCACAGAATACTACTGAGTAACCAAAAGGAATGAACTATCAATAAAACAGCCTGGAAGACCCTCCAGAAAATTATGCTGAGTGAAAAAAGCCAATCCACAAAGGTTACATACTATATGATTCTATTTATGTAACATTTTTGAAAGACAAAATGGAAATGGAAAACAAATTTGTGGTGGCTGGGTGGTTAAAGAGGAGTTGGAGGTGAGAGGAGGGAAGTGGGCTATACAAGGGCAACATGAGGGATTCTTGTAGTGATGGAAATGTTCTGTATCTTGACTCTTATCAGTGTCAGTACCCTGGTTGTGATACTGTCTTATAAATTTGCAAGATGTTTCCATTGGGAAAAGCTGGGTGAAGGGTACATAGGATCTCTCTATTTTTTTATAACCACGTGTGAATCTACAATTATCTCAAAATGTTTAATTAAAAAAGAAAAGTGATTGCTGAATTCCCACCTTTCTGGTTTCCATCAGAAAACCGTAGAATGGCATATTTAAACCACAGTAGACCTTTTCCAGCCTCTTGACTTGCAAGCTACCACCAAACCTCAGCTGCATGCGTATGTTTTTCCAGACTATGAGTTTTTTAGTGGCATTCAGCTGATAATGAATAGATAATTTCTTGATCTGGACTACCCTTGTTAGAAAGAGGCAGTAGGGATGATGATCACAGTGGGGGTGGTGATGATAGTGACAAAAAGAAGTTCAAGATAAAAGTTGCTGACTTCTCTAGTACCTCATACTATTTTTTTCTTTTTTACCACATCTCAGGAAGTTTGATATTGTTACTGTTTCTTTTGAAAATATACATTTATTTTTCATCTGCAACTTATTTGATAAGAGCAAAATTGATTTAGAGCTAAGTGATAAGTAAAAGTGAAAGTAAGTTGTTTAAAACAAGGTCATGCTTGCTGTGTGCAGACAACCCTCACTTCTAGTGGTTGTACCTCTCTGCCTGTTACGGGGCCATGATACAGTGTCAGTCACCTTTACACAGTCACCCATTTCCACTCCATACCCAGTCATCGTGTTTGTTGTGCTGAGACTTTTTGAAAACTAAGGATAATAGAAATGGCTGTCTGTGTATTCTCTCTCCCCAAGGCCTGTCCTTTAATCCAGCATGGTAAACTGAAGTGAACTTTTCAATAAGTGAGATAGAACCTCTTCCTTCTTCACACACTTGTGCCAGCTTTTGCACCTATGACCACCTATGAAAATGGGAAAACTAAGGGTTAGGAGTCTTGCCAAGTCAAAATCTCCCTAGGTCTGAGCCTCTTCTTAGCGGTTAATTACATCTTCCAACAACGCCGAGTTACAGTGAACGTATGTAATTAAAGAAAAAGACAGCTAAAGCTTGGAGCTATATTTCATTCACTCAGTATCCAGGCAGAGGTCATTTAGGGAGGAAGCAGTTAAGTCAGCATGGCCCCATACACCTAATATTCTTAGTGTTAATATCATTTTAACCAGTGGCTTAAAGAATTAGCCCATAGAAATACTATTTGGCACCACTGGTACCATCAACTATAAATATTAATGCCGCTTCTTCCTCCTTACCATTTCTGTCTCTTGTCACCCAAAAGTCTCCATCTTCTTTTCAATTTTTCTTTAGTCCTACTACTCTATCTCTGTTACACTTACCCTGGTTTATTTTAGACCGGTAGGCCTTGGCCCGTTATACCCTTCAAGTAACCATTTATGTACAAGTGATCTTCCTCTTCCTTGCAAGGGCCCTGTCCTCAACACCACTGCGGTAGGCTGGGCCATGCCCACATCTGTTGCTGAGGCAGCGAGTTGTCCACAGACTGAGAGGACAAGAGGGAGGAGTCGTGGTCAGTTTCTTGTTGACTTACTCAATAGTGGGGGCGGGGGGGTTGGAGTTAGAGAATGATGTCTTAGAAGAGGCTAGGTTTATGTGATCTTGCTGGGCTTATTTTTTGTTCTTTTGTCTGCATTTGAAAAGGAAGGGAAAACATTTTTTTAGTTCCTACCCTGACCCTGGTCCTTTAGGTGTGTTAACTGTTTTGTCCTTAAATGATAACGGTAATAATAATTAATATATGTGTGGTGCTTTATAGTTGGTAACAAGAGTTCTTATATATGATTTCAGTGATCTGCACACCCATCGGAGATGAGTAAATAGAAACTCTGAAGTCTCACAGCTTCTCAGAGCCGGTCTCCACATTTACTGTCTTCTCCAAATTCTGTGTTCCTTTGCCTAGGCCACGTTGCTTCTTGGGAGTGTAGAGTTTCCCTTCGGTTGTAAGCCGTAGAAAAGCGGGACTCCAGAGTTTGCATTCTTTCCTGAACAGCTCAGCAAAGGAAAGAGGTAGTTATGAGACTAGAAGGTGGATGAGAACAGACCATGAGGGTCCAAGTTCCCTTGCTGAGGTTTTATCTTTTGTTTCATTTCAGGATGGCGATGACACGGAGAACTATGTTCCAGAAGGGGGAGGTGCATAACAAACCGTCAGGATTCTGGGGAATGATAAAAAGTGTTACCACTTCAGCACCAGGAAGTGAAAGTATCCTTTATGACTCTGCGTGATTCTTTTTCTCAACTCTGGACCAAGGCCAGAAGACAAAAGTAGTATCGGGATGGACTGCATCAGAGTCCAGCTGGCCAGGGCTAGGCTTAGGAAATACAGAGTCATCTTTCCAACACCCCTAAAAGATCATAAAACCATTGTCCTTGAGCTGAAGAAGTCCTAAAAATCACTCTTTCCATTTTACAGATGAGAAAATAGACCCAGAGCGGTTAAGTCACACTGTGGCTTGTGGCAAAGATAGGACCTCCTCTTAGTTCTTTCCACTACACTCTTCTATTTCCTGGGTCTGACCAAGCAGCATGAAACACAGTGGCTCCCTAAAATGAATGGTTTGTATATGTAGGGGATGGTAAGGGCCTATTTCTAAAAGCAGTCAGTATTTCTAAACAAATTTTAAGCAGCACTGTATCTTCAGTGACTTTTGGTTTAAAGAATCAAGGAGACTGGGTTAATGGATTGTTCTTGGCCCAGCCTTGCAGTGTTAAACTGATGCCCACATTGAGTAACAAAATCTCTTTGTGCTACCAGACTATTAAGTCAAAACTTAGGGGGCCTGAAGTGAGATAGCATATTCCTGCTTCTTTCTCTGGCCTGAGGAAGTACAAATTCCCTTTTGCTTCAACTCGAGGAAAAGGATGTTATCTGTTCTTGCTATGAATTGGGGCATATCTTTCTGGTGTCAAATGTAGGTAAAAATTAGATCAAAGAAAGGCAGGATGACATGACCACGAGAGAGGAAAAAAAGGATTACATTGAATTCATTTAATCCAGAAACATTTATTTCATGTCTCCTATTTCCAGGCAGTCCTAGGGGCTAAAATGATGAACAGAGTGTACTCTCTCTCCTCAAGAAGCTGACTAATCATGGGCGAGGGGGACATGGAACTAGTTAAGCCCTGTTGTTTGACTGCCTGGACCATGAGAGTAGCAGCCACTTTGAGGAAGGAGCTGAAGGGCACTTGGTAATTTGAGTACTACAGGCATACCCCGAGATGTTACAGGTTTGGTTCCAGAACATCACGCAAAAGCAGGTATCACAATGAAGCGAGTCAGATGGATATTTTGGTTTCCCGGTACATATAAAAGTTATGTTTATACTGTATCCTATTGAGTGTGCAAGAGCATTCTTAAAAAAAACCAGTATAAAAAGTGCTAACCATCATCTGAACTTTCAGTGAGTGGTAATTTTACTGATCACAAATCCCCATAACAAATATAATAATAATAGTGATGATGATGAAAAAGTTTGAGATAAGGTGAGAATTACCAAAATGTGATACACAGACACAAATGGCACTAGTAGACTTGCCCAACGCAGGATGGCCACAACCTCCAGTTTGTTTAACAACAACAAAAAAATCTGCAGAGTACGACAGAATGAGATGTGCCTGTAGTGACAAAAATCAGAGTAGGGAGGATGTGGATCAAAGTGAATCTTCGAGCTTGGGCTATCTTCACTATTTTTATTACTTAAAAGTCCATAAAAGCCAAAGTTTAGGTTTAAGCTATCTTAGTGATGATAAGTCAAGTCAGTAAAAGTATCAGGATTATTTCACTTCTCTGAGCCCCTGTCTCCTAAATGGAGAAAATAATAGGACCTCAGTAAGTTCTTGGAAAGTAGCATAGTGTAATGGAAAGAACAGGCCTTGGAGGAAGGCAGATCTGACTTGGCATCTATACCTGTTAGCTGTGTGACTTCAAGCAATTTACTTGACTCTGGGCTTTGCTTTCCTTATCTGCAAAATGGGACTGTTAGGAGAATAATAGAAGATAATGTCTATAAAGAACTAAAAAGTCATGTTTATAAATCCCAGCCTGTATTGGAACTCCATAGTGTTAGTTCCCTTTCCTAATGTTACATTTATTCAGATAATTTAGGGGAAAACTATGCTGTATTATAGGTGTTTTACTATGTAACTACTTGAGATTTCAAAATTATATTTGGCTTTAACTAGATCAAAGAAAAGCAACAACGAACAAAACCATCTGCTGAGCCACTTGAACTAGCGAGTGGTAGGTGTTTGATAATGGAGACGCTTTTACACACCTGTGTTGGAGGTTGGGAAAATTGCTCTAAAAGAGTACTTTTGTTCATGAAGCAGGAAACTGAATATATAGGCAGTTCCTAGGATCTACCATAGGAAAAACTAAAAGCATATGCTTTCTTCATTGCTATTTCTTGAAACTTCTATGTGATTTAAGCCTTGATGCCCATTTTGTGCCAGATCTTACTCTTATTCAACAGGAAGTGGATGCTTTGGAAGAACTAAGCAGGCAGCTTTTTCTGGAAACAGCTGATCTATATGCTACCAAGGTACAAGGCAAGGAAATGGAAGTGTGGTCTTTACCAGTATGATTGAAGAAAGAACAAGACTAAATAGCTTTTTAGTGTCCTCTATAGCCAAGCAGTGCAAGAAAGACCTCATAGCTCCGGTATCAGCCATGAAGCTTTAGGAGTCTGCGTTCTTCATGACATTGCTCCTACCCCCAGCAGAATTCTTACTCAATAACAGAAATTAGTGGGATATTTGAGAGGTTTTTCAACTGCGGAAGGTGGCACACACCACTTCTACTGATTCAGGGTCAAGATGGTAGCTCCTCTGATTGCTTTTTATTCCCTTATAAATTAGTAATATTGTGAGAGCAGTGCCATGATCTAGCCATGTTTTAAAAGATCCAGATCAAGGGGCACCTGTGTGGCTCAGTTGCTTGAGTGTCCGACTCTTGATTTTGGCTCAGGTCACGATCTCAGTGTCATGAGATTTAGCACTGTGTCAGGCTCTGCACTGGGTATAGAGCCTGCTCAAGATTCTCGTTCCCTTTCCCCCTGCCCCTCCCCCTGCAAAGCCCCCTCCCCCAGGTCTCTTTCTCTCTCTTAAAAAAAAAAAAGAAAGAAAGAAAGGATCCAGATCAAGAAGTGACCTAACTATGAGAAGTAATTTTCCTATTTGCACCGAAAATACAATATAATTTAAATATGCAAAATCTATTAGTTAAGTTCATTCAAACTATTTTTATCCTTTTCAAGGATCACTTCATAGGAATAGCCATATAGGGTAGAGGTTAACATAGGCTTTGAAGACAGACCTGAGCCTAAATTCCTGTGACCTTGGGCAAGTTATCTAACCCCTGTTAAGTCTCAGTTTTCTCATGTGTACAATTAAGATAATAGAACATGTAAGAGTTGTTATAAAAATTAAAGTAGATAATGTATGTAAGGTGTTTATCCCAATTTCAGGCTTAAAGTAAGCATTCAATAAATGTTGCCCCCTAGTATTATTTTAAGATTAATATCACTTGTGGGTCTTTCACTCCAGCATAACAGCAATTTCATAGAGGCTGGAATGTTTTGGTTGAATATAAGTTTACATTTTGCTGAGACTAACTATATTTTGTTGTTTGTTTTCCCTCAGGAGAGAGTAGAATACTCCAAAACTTTCAAGGGGAAATACTTTAATTTTCTGGGTTACTTTTTCTCTATTTACTGTGTTTGGAAAATTTTCATGGTAAGTATATTAGTTTTAACTGTCAGGGTTTAGGTTATTTTCCCCGCTAAATGGCAGAGAGAAAAGTGGGTTTGACTGAGGCACTGAACTAAATTCCAAATCCAATTGAGTCAACAGAGAATGCTGTCTTTCACATCCCGAGCCTGACTCCTCCCCCTCTCTTTTTTTAGACCTAGAGGTTGCATTTTTCTTCATTCAGAAATCATTAATAAGATCATAGCTTATAAGCTATATGAAGGGAGTACAAAAGTTTCTTATTTTTGTACTGCTTTCCGTATTACCCTTGAGTATATCTATGTGACACAGTCCCTACCTTCAGCTCAGAACAGAAACCACTTCTCCTTTTTAGTAATCTGTATATACCTAAAAAAAGTTCAATCCAAGGTAAGTTCTACAAGAAAAACATATTTCTAGAGATAAATTCATTTTTATGTGCTTATAGCTCTCATTCTTTTGTGGCTCTCTCTTAATGCTCTATTCTTTATGATGAGGGAACAGAAGGTAAGCTGAAGACAAAGCAGAAGCTGACACCCCACAAACCCCCCGCCCTCATGGGATCCATGTGACAGTCCTCAGGCGCTCCTGGCTGCCCTAAAGGAAAACTTATAGAGATCACAATCCTACAAGACAGGAGTCTCCCTCAGTTTACAAATGTCTTAGCAATCTATAAGAACAAAGCATTTCTATCAATGGCCTAGCTTCCAGAAGGGAATGCAGATACAATTAAATGTCCTGATAATCTGCAGCCTGTCGAAGCGGGCAAAGTGTAATGTCTCTCCAGGAAGCTCCCAACTATCTTACTGTTAATGCCTTACTAGAAGGAAAAACAACCTTAACTTGACAATGACAAAGCCTGTGGTATCCTGTGAGTCTTCTTTAGCATACAAAAATCCTTTTGAAACTTCCCTTTTCCTTACATCCCCCAACTCCCACCCCTCGCAACCCCAGGGCAGCAGCTCTTTCTGCCCACGGGTCCTGTTCCTGTGCTTTAATACACCACCCTTTTGCACCAAAGACATCTCAAGAGTTCTTTCTTAGTCGTCAGCTCTGGACTCCACCCCACTGAGCCTCAGTTATATTCTAAAACTTCATCATTTATATGCATTTTATGTACATTCTTCTTGTGACTCGTGTAGATATTCATGGATTTCAGTGTGATTACAGAAAAGGCTGATTGGACTTTCTGGTTCTGTGACTGGGGCTGGGGCTGTGTTTGCACAAAGAGGAGCTTTATCATCTTGTTAATTTCGGTCAATATAGATGAATGGAAGATTCTGGATTTTAATAGATCTAATATTATAATAAATTGATGTCAATACCTATTCAGAGAACAATTTTTAAATCTTGATTCATTTAGTGGGAGAAGATAAATGAAGATAGTATGTTCAATGAGCTAAGCTACTAAAAAGTTTTTCCTGAGTTGTAGACTTTAGGGGAGCATATCCTTTTTTAACAGCTTTATTGAGGTGTAATTGACATTTAATAAACTGCACATATTTAAAGGGTATATGATTGGGTAAGTTTTGACAGATGTGTACACCTGTTACAACAACTATCACCACACTTAAGATGGTGACCATATCCATCCATCACTTCCAAAAACTTTCTTGTGCCCCCTTGTAATGTCTGTATCACACATCCCCAGTCAACCACCAATCTGCTGTCATTATACATTAGTTTATATTTTCTAGGACTTTATATAAATGAAATCTTAGAGTAGGTACCTTTTTTCTGTCTGACAGCTTCTACTCAGCATAATTATTTTATGTTTCATTCATGTTATCATGTGATCAATAGTTTATTCCTTCTCATTGCCAAGCAGTATTCCGTTGTGCGATTATACCAGAATTTGTTTATCTGTTCACCTGCTGATGGGTATTTGTTTCCATTTTGGGGATATTACAAATAAAGCTGCTATGAACATTTGTGTACAAGTTTGTATGTGGACATATATTCTCTTTCTTCTTGGGAGAAAACACTTAGGTATAGCATGGCTAGGTCACATGGCAGATGTTAAACTTTTGAAGAAATGGCCAAACTTTTCCAAAGAGGTTGTACCATTTTACATCCCCACCTGCATTGTTTGAGAGTTTCACTTACTCCACATCCTTGCTCACATTTTATAGTCAGTCTTTTAAATTTTAGACGTTCTAGTAGGTATGAGGTGATATTAATTGTTTAATTTGCATTTCTCTAATGCCTAATGGTGCTAAACAACTTTTCATGTGCTGATTTGCCACCTGTTTATTTGGGGGGAGAGGGGAGATACAGCTATTGAAATTTGCTGCCCAATTTTTAAATTAGGATTTCTTTTTATTGGGTTTTGCAAGTTTTTCACTATATTCTGGAAACCCTTTATCAAATATGTGATTTTCATATATTCTCTCCCAATCACTAGCTTAGCTTGTCATTCTCTGCATAGTATCTTTCAAAGAATTGAATTTTTTAATTTTGATGAAGTCCAGTTTATCTTTTGCATCTTTCGTCAGCTTTATCTCAAGTATTTAATATTTTTGGTGCTATTATAAATGGGACTATTTTTATAATTTCAGCTTCTGAGTGTTTCTGATATATAGATACACAACTGATTCTTGTCTGTAGATCTTCTCTATTTCACAACCTTGCTAAATCCCCTTGTTCTAAAAACTTTTTATAGATTTCACAGGATTTTTTTCTACATAGACAATCAGATCTCTGCAAATGAAGACAGTTTTACTTCTTTGTTTCCTATCTGGATACCTCTTATTTCTTCCCTTCCTTTCCCTTCCTTTTCTGTCCTATCCCATCTTTCTTCTTTCTTCTCCTCCTTTGGCCTTATTGCACTGATCAAAACCTCCCCGTACAAAATTAAACAGAAGTGGTGGGGCGCCTGGGTGGCTCAGTCGTTAAGCGTCTGCCTTCGGCTCAGGTCATGATCTCAGGGTCCTGGGATCAAGCCCCGCATTGGGCTCCCTGCTCTGCAGGAAGCCTGCTTCTCCCTCTCCCACCCACCCTACTTGTGTTCCCTCTCTCGCTGTCTCTCTCTCTGTCAAATAAATAAATAAAATCTTAAAAAAAAAAACAAGTGGTAAGAGCAGTCATCCTGATCTTGTTAAATATGGTGTTAGCTGTTGGCTTTTCCTAGATGCCCTTTAGCAGGTTGAGGAAGTTACTTCTGCTCATAGTTTATTGAATGTTTTTGATCATGAAAGTGTGTTTGATTTTGTCAAATGCTGTTTCTGCATCTATTGAAAGGAGCATATGACTTTTCCTTTTTAGTCGGCTGGTATAGTGAGTTACATTGATTAATTTTTTAATATTAAACTGGCCTTGAATTCCTGTAATAGACCTTACTTGGCCATGGTGTATGTTGTTGGATTTAATTTGCTAACATTTTCCTAAGAATTTTTGCATCGATGTTTATGAGAAATACCAGAGTATAGTTTTCTTGTAATGTTTTTGGCTTTGGTGTCAGAGTAATGCTGACCTTAGAGGTTGAGAAGAATTCCTTCCTCTTCCAATTAGTGGAAGAGTTTATGTGGAATTATTATCATTTCTTTCTTAAACATTTGGTGGAATTCACCAGTGAAGGCATCTAGATCTAGAGTCTTCTTTGCAGGAAAATCGTTTAGCTACAGATTTAATTTCTTTAATAGATGATAAGGTTTGTTCAGGTTGTATATTTCTTGAGTGAGCTTTTGTAGTTTCTGTCTTTCAAGGAATTTGTCCATTTTTATTGAAGTTGTCAGATTTATTAGCATAAAATTGCTCTTAATATTCCCTTATTATCCTTTTACTATCTATAAAATCTGTAGTGATGTCACCCCCTCCTCTTTATATAACACCTTTGTTGAGATAGTCACATACCAAAAAATTCACCCATTTTGTGTACAGTTTGGTGGTTTTTAATATATTCACAGAGTTGTGCACACATCGATACAATCACCCCAAAAGAAATTCCATACCCATTAGCAGTCATTCCTTATTTCTTCTCTAGACTTAGGCAGGCACTAATCTATTTTATGTCTCTATAGATTTTCTATTCTGGATATTTCATGTACATTGAATCATACAACATGTGGTCTTTTGTGATTAGCTTCTTAGTAAATGTTTTTAAGGTTCATCTATATTGTAGCCTCTATCAATACTTCATTCCTTTTTATGGATGAATAATATTCCATGATATGGATATGCCACATTTTATTTATCTGTCCATCAGTTGAGAAACATTGGGTTGTTTCAACTTTTTGAACCATTATAAATGATGCCATTGTGAGCATTTATGGATAAATTTTTATGTGAATATATGTTTTCATTTCCCTTAGGTACATGCCTGTGAAAGTAAAATTGCTGGGTCATATGCTACCTATATGTTGAACCTTTTGGTAAACTGCCAATCCGCCAGGCTGTTTTCCCAAGCAGCTGCACCAGTTTACATTCGCACCAGCAGTGTCACAGTTGTCATTTCTCCACATCCTCACCAACACTTATTTATCTTTTTATTAGAGTCATTCTAGTGGCTATGAAGTGATACCTAATTCTTGATATTGCTAATTTGTGTCTTTTTTTTTCTGATCAGTCTGGATCAAGGTTTATCAATTTTATTGAACTCTTCAAAGAACCAGCTTTTGGATTAATTATCTATATTGTTTCTCTGTGTTCAATTTTATCAATTTCTGCTCTGATTCTTATAATTTCTCTTCTGCTTATTTTGGGTCTTTTTCTAATTTTGTAAAGTGCAAGCTAAGATCATTGAAAACTTTTAGTATGTGTTTTAGTGCTATAAATTTCTTGCTAAGCATCTCAAAATACAACGTTTCTGATGTATTTTTATTTCATTCAGTTCAAAATATTTCTAATTTTTCTTCTTTGACTCGGGTTATTCAGAAGTATGTTATTAAATATTTGGGGGATCTTGTGAATATCCTTCTGTAATTGATTTCTAATTTAATTCCATGTGATCTGAGAACATACTTAGTATGATTTAAATCTCTTCAAATTTATTGAGACTTGTTTTCTGC